CGAGTTCCTTTCCTGTTCTCCAGAGGATACCGATTCTGTTGGCTTGCCAGTAGTCCTGCGCTCTTACCGATTAGCGCAGAACTGCCATGTTGTTAACAGGGCAGCCACGGATGGGTAGCGTTGGTTAAATAGGATGGGATTGACTGCAAGGTTTGTTCCAGTACTGTTCAGAACAACTAATTTTTACTTATCTTGCTTTTTTTCCTTCTTTTTTTAACAGCCAGGAAAAGAAACAGTAAAGAAACAGCAATTGCGCTTGAAAAATTGTTGCCAAAGCGATGTCAGGTTCTTGGACTGGTCACCCCGGGGGTTGTAGGTAGGAGGAAAACTTGTGATTTTGTGAGAGATCCGCTTGAAGGTGTCCAGTGTATCGCACGTCTCTTCCAGTTCCTCTTTATCACAATTTCATACATTTTTGAAAGCACAGTCCTGCAGACTGACGGTAGAGTTCTCACAGCGATTACCATGTTCTCCCACCTTGTTCAGCGCTAGCTTAAATTTTAAGGAGTTCACAGTGTCGCTGCTAAGTCATGTGGAGCTTAAATTCTTACTTCATGTGATGCAGTTATAATTAAAGGAGTTGATTTGAGTAGGCAGCTTATTGCAGTTTTTCCTGGCACCTTAATGTAATTATTGAATGTTTCTTGGATGTATCTATATTTTTCAGAGTCACATTGTGATTAATGGTACAGGACATCCTCAGTACGTACCCGTTTGTTATGGTCTAGCAGGAGGCATACGCAATAACTATGGAAAATTCACAGCCTCCCTTGGCAGTCTTTTTCTAGTGCTTCACTTTTTTGTCACTAGAAAGTTTTTTCCTAGTTTCTCGCCTTAAATTCTTTTCCCACAGTATAAATAGGGTATTTGATGTCGGTAGCATAATTCAATAATACACTCCCAATATTTGTGTCAGTTTGCTTTATACTGTCATCACGCGCTAGTATAACACCTTCCCCCGTTTCACTTGTGGTCCTTAAAAATCTGAGTATGTTTGCGTACCTGCAGAAGTTGGCAGGAAGGCTTGAGACAGCTGTATTGCACAGTGCTTGTTTTCCAACTGATTTATATTTGGTGTGGCTGGGGGGAAGTGTCCAAATATATCCATGTCTCCTTGTCCAAAGTGACTTCAGCATGATCTATAGCCAGCAGGACTCCTACATGCTTCACTTCGCCAAAAGATCAAAAAAATCACACCAGTTGTCAATTAGATATGTTGTTACGGAAGCGAACTATCACGTTTCACATCGTCTAAGCTGTTCTGCCTCTTTTAATCTGTGTTACAGTGTAGACAAAAGTATTAGAATCGCTGAATGCAAGATGTCTGGTTTTGTATCGTTGTAGTTACCCCTATGGGTTCAAGCAGCAATCAACCTCAAGAAATTGAAGAGGGCGAAGCTGGGTTTGCTCTGTTGTTTCCCAAAATCGATGGGGTGAAAATTCATACCTTCCATTTTTCAAAAGACTTGAAGAACAGGGTCTTTGATGAAAGTAAATTTGCTGAAGCAGGTATGTCCTTGTTCTCCCCTTTATTTGGGCTTTTGTGAAGCGTTGTATTGCTCTTTTAGGCGCCAGCATGGAAGCAAGAGCTTCTGTGCTAACTCCATCTGTCGAGCACGCTGTGGCTCTCTAAGGCTGCGGCTGGTAATTATGCATCTCTGTTCTTCCCATTCTCTGGAGTATTAAGTTATCCTGAGTATTGATCTCAGATTACCTCAGTTAGGTTCCAAGTGGAGCTGTTCAGAGGGAGCTCTTAGGTTTTGAGCAACCTCTAAGTGGTTAAAAATAATGATAAATGAGTTTGTTCCACTGGGAGTGATTCCCATCACTACAGTTTAGAAACGAGTGGGGAGGAGCTGCTTCTCTTCTTCTCCAAAATAACTTTGCATTTAGATCCTAAGTTAGGTGTTGTGGCAAGGAAAGGTAGAACAGGAGACAGCATATTTCAGTAAATACAGTTTACATTCCTCACGTCACGTCCTCAGCAGGGTAGATCATTTATGAAGAGTAATAAAATGAGGGTTTCTTGGGTCTTCTGGGAACCTGGGAGTTTCTGCCTTGGGATAAGCAACTGGCTGTTGTATGTAATGGATTTAATTTTCAGGTAAAGCTATTTATTGCGTTGTGGTTCTTGTTGAATAACCCATACACTCAGTTCTTGTCTGTAAAAGGATGATTAAGGCTGCCAAGTAAAACTGAAGAGCTGTGCCTTCTGAGGCTGTGCTAAAACTCAAGTGCTCTGTTAAAGAAGTTGAAATCTGGAGGAAGCAGATGCAGACTTCTTTTCCGTGCTAGGTTCTTCTCAGAAATTCTCACTTATGTGGGGAATGCAGCCCAGCTCCTGAATGCCTGGGCAACTTGTGTCTTGTTTTCCCAACTGCAGCAATGGAAAGCCATTACTAAAGGTGTGATGTGTTATTTGAGGAGAGAGTAGGCTGGTTGGACGTCAGGGGTCAGGATTTAAAAATAAATAAGAGGATTGGTGTTTGTGTTTTTGTTTGTAGGTCTGAAGAATAACCCAGATCTCCGGGTGGTTCTTCTGTTTGGCTACAACTCCTGGAAGTCTGGAGCGACTCGATTTCTTCATCAAATAGTCAATCCTTTGAATGAGAAAAGTATCATCCTGGCTGGGGGACAAGTGGAGAGCTTTACATCACTGACCTCTGAGAAGTAGGTATCTTTTTCAAGGTAAATTGTAAAGAAGATTTAAAATGGGAGAAACACTGCAGAAGCCATAGCCTTTTAGTTACGTCACATTAGAAATGCCCATTAACAGTAATAAAATGATATTTTTTTTTTAAGAGAATAAAGTCCAACTGCTACACTGTGATTTAGCCAGAAAAGCTGGAAGCTTTGTAGGACTGTGTTACAAATTGGATTCTGGAAACCCAGCTAGGAGAAACCCACTGCGAAGGAGATTTCCAGCTTCAGATACCCTATGTGTGCTAATTATTGCAGTCCGTGTTTACTCTCTGGCTTGCAGATAAATTATCACTCATTGTGACAAAGACCATTTATGTGAACATTTTGTTTCTATATCAACCTCGTTTTGGTTCACATTACAGAGCGGTAGCTGGACACTCAAACAGGACTGTGCCCCAGGAGCACACCTAATAATGCTGCCGCTGCTGAAGGAGATGGCACGCACAGGCCCAGGCTAGATCTTACCTGGCTTAAACCCCTTCCCTCTGCCAGGATCCCTGCAGGGCAGACCGGGGCTGCGCTCGCTCCAGCTGCTCTGCTGCAGAGGGAGAGCCCTTCGTGCCATCCGGCGCGTGGGTGCTGGTGCATCCTCACCGGAGCGCCCCGTGCTGGGGTGCGCAGTGCGGATGTTGCCGCGAGCTCCTCTCATGCCAGCGTAGGTCTGGACTCCGTAGTAATACCAACATTTTTCTTACATCTGACGTATGCCAGCTGCACCATTACTCCAGATAAGAAAGCTGACCATGTATTAAATTATTGCTAATAAAAGCCTAAGTAGGTAAGTACTAAAACCAATGTGTCCTGGCCAACCAAGGAGACTTAAAGCTACATGAATCTGAAGCCATTACTGACTGCTGTCCTGGTTTGACTTGTAAATCCCGAGTATCTTTGCTTGAGTTTAACTAACAGTTTAGTTGGAATTACAGAGCTGTGACGCCCACAAACTGCTGAATTTGGCATGTGTTTGAAAGGTAGGCTTACGCTTAATCCCTGGTAATGGATGTGAAAGTTTTTCCTTGTGGAAGGTTGCTTAAAAAAAAAAAAAAAGGTTGCTAAAATTTGAAGGTTTCGGTTTGTTTTTTAACTATGGGTGGCTTTCAAAATCAGTAGGATGTTGGCCTGCTTTGAAATCTACTTCTGCCACAGCAGAAGTTTATTCAGGTTGGAACTGGTCCCTGGAACGCTCTCTAACTCGGTGCCTGTTGCCTTTCAGTAACAATGCCCAGCCCGGCGATGCCTGCGGGGTGGTGGGGCTGGCTTTCAGCGGTCCCCAGATCCAGAGTGCCACTGTCTTGTTAGATCAGGATGTAGCTGATGAGAGGACAGCAGAAGCCGCCATGCAGCGTCTCAAAGCAGCAAACATCCCTGAGCGTAACACCATTGGCTTCATGTTTGCGTGTGTTGGCAGAGGATATCGGCATTATAAAACCAAAAGGAATATGGAAGCAGATGCATTTAGGAAGTTTTTTCCAAACGTTCCCCTCTTTGGCTTTTTTGGACATGGGGAAATAGGATGTGATCGAATAGTTACTGGGAATTTCGTATTAAGAGAATGTAATGACATAAAGGATGATCTGCTTCATGGTTATACTACCGTTATGACTCTTATTCATCTTGGTTCAACTAAAGCAAACCAAGTGTAAATATGTTTTTAATGCTTCAGTGAGCTGTTTTTTTCATTCCAGAAAGCTGAGAGGTCTGGAAGAGTGGACATCTTGCAATCAAAGCCCCTTCCAAAACATAAACATAATTTTGGTAATATTATCGAATCTTGTAGTTGGAATAGGGTTTGATGTAATAGCTGCGAGAAGGCTTTGCATTTTGTGTAAACCCCTGTACATGTCAGAATTGCAGGTAAATGATGGAATTCTGCCATTGAAGAAAGCCTCTTTCTTCCAAAATGAGAATGGTTTGCACAAATGGCAGTCGGAGTCCAAATATAAACATGTAGAAAGAAACAGTACTTTGATGTGCTCTATTTATGTACGTAAAACAGTCTACAAAAACTACTGATGCATACTGAAAAACTGATGCATTAAATCCACTATTTCCTGGATTTTATTTCAAGAGAGATGCACAACCTGCCCAGACTTGAGTCCTATTTACAGAACTGAATGGTTTTACTAGCTAAAATGAATGAAAATCTTTAGAGAAAAATAACAAAGCGTTCATTAAATAAAGATGCAAATATGTAAAAGTACTTTGCCTTCTATTCTTAGAGGAAAAAGCTCTGATTTAAAGAGGGGTTGTCTAGTTATAAGCTCAACTTGTCTCACCATCTTTAACTGAATTTCAGTTGTCTTAAATATCTGGTTGAAAATAATATCTGTTACTTCGTGTGTACCAGCAATTTCATCTTTCTGTATTTAAGTTTACATAATCAAAGCACACTGGTTGCCTTTTCTTTTAGATTCTCTTGTAGCATGATGCTCTCTGTTATAAACCTTTAAATCCAGAGTGCTAAAAATTAAGACTACCTGGTATCTTTAAGTTTCTTTAAAAAGTTTTTTGCTTTTTAATTTGAAATTGTGGGGCACGCAAGATCTAGCTATGTTCTATTTATATAGAGCCTTTAAACAAGACTTGTTTTTCCCATGCTTTTTACATCAGTCACCTGTTTTGATTGCTGCAGCTGGAATGCAGTATTGCAAAGTTCAAGTAAGTAAATTCAGCATAGTCTCAGTATAGCTAATAATATATTTGCTCCCTTTTAAATTCTTTCCTCCCTTTTATTTTCACTTAGTAATAGAATGACAAGAAAATAAGATTAATTTTGCATCATTTCACCACACTTCTAAATGCCAAATCAGGCAACCGGCCTGTTTTCAGTGTAGTAAAAAGAAAATACTTAGCTGTATGTTGTACAACAAAATAACAATATTTTGCTTTAAATGTACCAACCAAGACTACAGTTGGCAACTTTCTGCCCATGTCTAGTTAAAACTTTTCCTGAACTTGGCCTAACGAGCTAAGGTATAGGCATATCTGCCTAGCATAAGCCCATGAACTTTAACTTTTTGCCGTAGTAGAAGCAGATGAAGTACGATCAACCACGTGTCCTGAACTGCAGTGTAACATGTCCAGAATTGTCCAAAGAAGCAGATGGTGAGCTCCAACGATGGTGCAGCAAAACAGGAAATGAGAGCGTGGTTTGAAGGGGCTGATCATCAGCGAGGTCCTGTAGCTGCAGACACGTAAGAGGTAAACGTAGTACAGAAAAGATGCTGGGGCGGGAACCCCAAGAGCCTGCACCAGAGTCCAGGATCCTTTCTCCAACCTCAGGGAGCGGGGATGAGCCCAGGGGACCCCAGAACCATGCACAGCATGGCTGGAACCGCTACGCTGTCTCTGCCAGAGCACGTCATGTCTTCCAAGTGACAGGGAAGTGGTATAATTGATAAAATTGCAACATCTGTGATTAAAGTGTTTTGCTATCCAAATTCATTTTGCTTCCACACTGTCATTTGCTCTTCAACCACGACAACTCCTGAGGGAAACCAAAATATATTTGCTTAAAAGGTGCACATACCAAAAGGCAGTGCAAAATCTATACCTCTGTCACTCAAAAGATAACCATGAGATTTTAAAGTGGACAAAGTTTGTTAAATGAATATTCAGCAGTTGAAGCAAATGTGAATAGCAGGACTGCTCTAAAGATAATTATCGTAGTTACAGTGCTGATGGTAGTATGTTTCCAGCAAGACAATATATAGTCCCTAAGTGACCACAACTGAGTTTTGTTTTTGTTGAGGAAAAAAAGAAAACCTTCAAAGTCACAAGACCTGCAGGGAGGAGTGCTGGTTTTGCTGACAAAAGGTAGAGGTCTTTTTCTCCATGCTTTGAATATGAATAATGTTTCGTTGCACGTTTTTTCTTAATGCATGTTTCAATTAAGTGAACTGTAGGTTTCAAAAGTAAAAAAAAAAATACGCAAGCGGTGTGATGTATAACTTCATACTTGCACAACCAAAACAGCAATTGCCAAACATAAAACTATTTTTTATTTTAAAATTACTAATCCAAAAATCCCCTCATTATAGGACATTTCTATAACGTGCAGTTGTAAGAAAGCAAGAATAATTTGATAAAGAGGAGCCAAATTATGCTAAATTGTCACAACTGTACTCCAGAAAGCAATTTCAGTTGAAAACTGCAGAAAACTGCAAAGATAGTGAATTTGAGTTTTGTTACTGTGTCAGATTTGTTTTGGCCCAAGTTAATACTGGAACAAGCCTTATTTTAACAGATCAATGAGTCAGACTGAATCATGCCCCCTTGGCAGGGAACAGTAAACCAAGATATATAAATGATGCAGCCAAACTTGGACTTTCAGCGTGCAGCAGAGAAGGCTGATAAGAATGTTAAACCTCAGACTAAATTTTGAAAAAAAACCAAGTGGTTACATAAGATTCTTAATTAATTTTTAGTTGAAAGTCTACCTCAAAACTCACTCGGTGTCATTACCTGCTCTTAGTTTATTTTTGTCTTTCTGAAAATGGAGAACTTCTTTCTGCTAGAAGTAACTGTAGTGGTGCTCATTAGCTTTCATATAAGACAGTAACTTTGGTATCGACCTAGGTTTTCTAAACCCCTAGTGTCTGGCCAAATGAGAGAACAAGTTAAAAAACATTTGCCATTCAGATGCTTCTATTTTACTCAGTGGAATGATACAGGAAAATAAAGTTTGAGGTCTGGAAGACTGCATAGTTAGAAGTTACAACGATAGTAAACATGTAAATTTAAATGGTCTTTTATATTACAATCCGAGCATTCTGCAAACATTAAGAAAATAATTATTTCCCCCGCTGTCTGATTATTTTTCATGATTATATTGTGGGGAAGATTATTTTTTTTTACTGTATGAGTCTGGTGGATCTCTAAAATACATTCCATCTTAATACAGCAGTTGTATTTTGTGCACAGAAAAGCAGGTAAGATAAACGTTAGACGCTAATTATCAAATTTCTTACTTGAAATTTTTCCCGTTCCTAAACCCATTTCTCAGCCAGACACGGGCTCCAGAAGAGGCTGTTGTTTCGGAGGGGCTCCGGATTAGACTTGAGGGTGTTCTGTCTAGCAATCTGTCTCCTGAACTACAGGCTCAAAGATGTGCAGCCAGGTAAACTGAGCTCACTTCTGGTGGTGGGGGTGGTGTGCCTTGCTTCTGTACTACAGTTTTACGTCAAACAAATGGGAGTTCAAACATTGTAGGACCCTTGTGCTGATTATTTCATGCCTACCAGCACTTCATAACAATGTAGGGTATTTTTCTAAACAGACAACATACGGCTACAGTGAAAAAATGGAAACTTTTTTTTCAAAGGAAAGGCGTAAGATAGGTTTGGATTATTTGGAAATGATATTACCTGCATACTTATGTTAGAATTAATAGCAGAGAAATAGCTAATCGGAATTTTTTTCCAAGTGCTTTGATAATTTAGGAGCAAAAATTTTATTCCCAAATCAATGGGATTTGTACTTCTAAATGCTTTTAAAAAACAGTTTATAAATTGCCATCATTACATTTCACGGCTAGAACCTCACTGAGATTAGCAGGTAGCACAAACTTCTCAAAATAAATGTTTCAGAGTGATTCATATCACTGAATCAGTGGCAGTCGTCACCTTTTCAAGATAAATTTTCACAGCTATAAGAGTTAGAAACAGCTTTTTTATAATAAGCTCGTCTTGGCTGAGTTGGCAGTATGGCAAGAGTGAGAGCAAACTCTAACCCCTTAAAACAGGAACTCTCCTAGGATCTCCAGAACTGGTGAAAATGACTGAATAGTTTGAAACAGCAGCAAATTCCATGACGGAGAACACTCAACGTAGATTCAAACTGCAGAGCCCTGTTAAAAAATGCCACCAGTTGATGCTCAGCTATATTTTTACACTCCCATCATTTGCCTGTACAAAAGCTGTAGTCAAAATATCATTACTTACATTGAGAGGATAATTTGAAAACAGTCTCTTTTAATGTACACTGAAAAAGAATGTTCAAATGCTACACAAACTGACATAGAGGTGCATTTAGAAGTGTTAGAAATTGGTTGTAGTTTTAATCTGTGGGATGAAAACAGCAATACCTTCTTGTTATTTCAGGTTCTACAGCTGCAGGTTTTGTTTACACGCCCTTAGCTAGCTAGAAATAATTCCTGGTGAAAGGTTTTGTGGAGTATCAGTCCCAAAAATGGAACTGAGTGCCAACCTGCCTATCGGTATTTCACAAAATTTGTATTTGGTACTTTACTATCAAGAAATTGCTCTCTCACATTACATACAGGTTATGTTGAACAGGTTACAATCACAAGAAAAGCAAGAACAGACTTTGGATATGCACAAGCAGATAATGTTACATACAATAATGAAAAAGTTTTTGGGCTTTTTAAACATCTTTAGGTATGCACATGTTTGGTTTTTTTTGTTTGCTCATTTTCCCCCAAAGTGCAGGAAATACTGCAGTACTTTCTTGAAATAAGCACATTTTTCACTAATCTTAACCACAAAAAGCAAATAATTTATGTCTGGATTCTTTTGATTATTCCATATAATCTGAGATACAGGAATATTCCATCTCTTCATTTAAGTATATAGATGTCAACACAAGGCATTGTATCTGAGAGAGGTACAGTGAACATACACATCCTGGTAATCTAAATAACATTGCCAGAGAATCCTAACACAATTTAGTTCTAGTTTTTTCCCCAAACTTAAACAGATAAATCTTCATTAATATCCCTGGGTTTGAATATGGTCGTAGTACAAGTGAAAACTCTTATCCAAATTAATCCACAATCTTTTCAGTTTTTACTGGAAATAGTTTGATGTCCTTTAAATCTGAAAGGATGCTAAATACCAAAGGAACATAATTGGGGCATTGTTTTGTTTTGTTTTTTAATGTAGAAGAGTTGGGT